TTTTTTTGTAGTATCTTTTCTAATACAAACCAATCGAGCAAAATTCTGCTGAGTAACGACTTGCTAACATTTCTTGAGACATAGTATGTACGATAGTTCTGTGTGTTTTTGCTGTCACGTGGGACTTTGCGGCTTGTTGGTTTCCTTGCGTGCGCACAGCGACACCTCAAACTTGGGTAATTGAACTTTATTATCGAAACACTAACCAAACTAACGAGCAATACAAGTAATGCATGCAAACTATGAGATAAGGTGCACATGAGATACAGCGGAACTGTGAGACTGTGACAAATTGAGAGATCAAACTTGGATCTGTGAAAGTGTGACAAACGAGAAACCAAATTGAATCTGTGAAACTGTGACAAACTGTGAAAACCACCATGCAATACGAAGACAAAGCATACTAAATATGGAAAGTGAAACAAACAATCAAATGGACATATAAAACGCGACGCGACAGCTAAACTGTATCAGCCACTTACACAAGTAAGCGAATACAAACAAATATCAGTAAGCATGGGAATTTCATAGATAAGCTAACAGCTAACAAAACATTGAATATAAGCATGTGAGAAAGTTTGTGTTTCAGCCGCTGTTGTATCAGGGCAGAAAGTACAATACGAACAGAAAAGTTCGTGTACTACGGCCTCAGCAAATGAGCGAACCGCCACCGTTCATACCGAAGTAGTGGACAAGGTTGTCATCGTAATCTTCTTCCGTATGCTTCCTAATGATTTCACTGATTCTTTTCTTGGTCGGCGTTCCATCGCGTTGCTTTGTCTTCGTGCTTGTAAGCTCCATAGTCAATTTCCGATGGCGAAGTTCGAGTCGACTGTTGCAATACGGGTTCGTCACGATTTCCAATCTCGTAGTAAGCAATGGCTCATCATTCCCTAAAGAGTATCTCCTTGCCTCATCTACTGTGCTTTGGGGGCTCAGTTTGTGTGACTGCTTATAATCCTCTCTGTGCCTGACGTTGGAGCATTTGTCCCTTACGTTCGTTCCTGCGCTTCGCTCCGAGTTCCACAGCCGTATATTGATACGAATGGAGTTGGTACATAGTACATCAAAAGAAAAATGAACGAAGGGTGCAAATTCATGGCACACATGCCGATAATCATGAGGATCTGACAATGTAAATGATCCTTCTGTATTAATTCACACTTATTAAGGAGCTTGTGCTTGGAGGAGAAGCCGCAATGTGGGGAGAGTTTGTGGATGCTACAAATCTCATACCACGTCTTTGGTAAGCTTTGCCTTACCATACTCTTGAAATACATACAAAATTACCGAGTTTCTTGGAGCTGACCTACATTGAAAGCTTTGCGCCTCACTAAATTCATAGAGAAAAGAACTGACGTTTCTTTGTTGTTGTTTGCTTTTTTTCGAGTCCATGTCATAAGGACGTTGTTTTCTTGACATTCTTATCAAATCTTGTATCGTTTTTATCGACAAAATCTAAGCGGTCTAATCTCTCAAATGAATATTTAACACAAATCATCTGAAAGACTTGTGCATTTGGACTCTTATATACATTCCAGGCCTCGCGCTTCAGCTGTAGCAGAAAGACTTTGGTCAGACCCTAGTGCGACTTATTCTGCTGATGCAGCTTGGCCTCGCCTTCACGAGTTCCGCTGTCGAATGATGAATCGTGGATTCCAGACGGAACCTCCAAATAATCCCGATTATTGTCCTTTCGAGTGGGATCCGAAATACACTGAACTTTAAGCAGAATGACAGAACTTCGTTACGTTGTTTTCTGCATAAAATTGATCATTCCTTTGCAGCTGCATGACATCTCTGAACGCAGCATTCGCTCAACGTTAGATACATAGTTCTTCGGCTATCAGTTCTTTGACTGACTTGCTTCGACTGGCTTTTGTGGTATCAAATCAAAAGAACATTCATGCTAAATTTGATGTTTCTCAAATTTAGTGTAGTTCAGTTCGATAGTTGTACAGGACATTCGAAAAATCGTCACGAGACGCGACAGCGCACTAGACGCACGCACTTCCATTTCTCGATTTCCATCTCTGTTCAAATGTTTTTTCTGCTTACAGTATGGTAATATCAATGGTAGTATTCAGACACTGGAAGTACTAGCTGAACATTTAGGTGATGCCTGCTTGTATGGGTGTTCTATGCTTCTGTGTGCGCAAAGACCGCAGAAAAACTCCTCGTCACAATTTGAGAATGAACCATTTATGTTCACGCATATGAAGTATACATTGAAGTTTGTGAGCAAATCTAAAGGCAGCGTACAGGCAAAAGTTGAATGCTCGCGATTTTCCTGTACGCTTGGAGCACCGATTCAAGAGTTTCAGAGTCTCGACTGTCAGATTTTCGGTGTCATGCATAAATAATAATGGCAGGCTGGAGCCTTCACTAGAACAAAAGATTCGAGAGAATACTCTTGCATTCGCTTGAGCATATTGTGTGTGCCGTGCAGGTAGATACATATATAACGCTTGTCTTTACCTTTCATCGCTGGTAAAAACCTCTCCAAGGTGTGGCCTTTCGCAAAATGAGAATATAACATCCTGTGGTTTGGCTTGTTTTTTAACATAATAGGCTGGTAACAAAGATGACATTCAACATTTACAATTTCGTTGGGCCTTTCTCATTTTTGAATTTTGAACCCAACCATGAATGAGAACAGCTACTCCTATCTCCTCTACAAGATACTTTACTTCCGTGTTTTTTTTTCGGCTTAATGATGTATTATATGGGCAACCTGACTTTGGCTTAACACCTCTCTTGTATATGCTTGGCAGCTTGAAGAAGGAACCATATCAATGTGAAAATGTGACTGAATTTCAAAACTTGACACATAAAAAAGGAAAACAGTTCACACCATGGAAACCCAGTTTCTGGTCGCTTAGTCTGCCTTTCGTTACAATGAGAAGAGTAAAATCCCGTACAGATCTATCTTTATCAGATTCAACAAAATTTACATAAAAAAATCGACCATCAACAGATTCCGACGACAAAACACCACACTCGAACACTTGGTTTTTTATTTCATGAACGACGCGAACTCCTCAGCCAATTTGTCAAAGACAATCTGCAGTCGCTGCTTTCCAAATCTATTGAAATGGTTTTCATAATCAAGAT